CATCAATTGGAGAACAGCCTTTATCAAAGGTGTCATGGACTTTGAAGACACTCCAACTCAGGACAAAAGGGAGAAACAATCTAAGAGGAAGGCACATTTGGCAAACGTTCACCGTGATCAATTCCCACCCTGAAACCTATGTCCCTACTGTAGAAGCACATGTGGATCCAGAATTGGCCTCCACAGTCACTTATGGACTCACTGTTAAGATCAGGTTCATGGAAGACAATCTTATTCTGCTACAAGTGATCGCCAAAGAAGAAGATCTTTCAGACATTTGAGACTTCGGGCTTTAAATGTTATAAACATCAAGCAATGCTCCTGTAAGCAAGCCTATTCCAACTCCTTGGGAAGATATTGAGCCTGATAATCCAGAGCAATCTCAAAGAATTTTAGCAGCATAAAGATGGTTTGAAACCATAACCAATCTGTTATAGTAATAAATATGGAACAAAGAAGAAGAACTAAAATGAAATAGTTCAGGGCTATTTTTAAAACTCTTATCTGTATAGGTTGATCCGTAGTGATCTGTAAGCATCATCCCTCCTACCAGAGTAAAATCAGACCCTTTTTATTGATGCTTTTATTTGCATTAAAAATAGGAACAAAATGCTGCCCACTCTTTTTATAGGTCTGTCCGACAATACGGAGGAGCAAAACAAAAGGCCACAGCATGGAAGACTAATCTTTCTTTTTTGCAGCCTTTGGTTGAGCCCTCTTTTAAATTGACATTTCATTGTTGAAAAATGCACACCTGCACATTAGCGCTTGTGGTAAAAGAAGTTTATTAGCATTGGAATGTCTGAATAGTTACTGGAAATCCATATGAACGTCGTCATGTTTTGTGTTAAAATGCCCCCCCAGTGGTATTAAATCCCATCAAATTGCTCTAGTGTAGAGACAAAAAAGGAGGAAAGCGTAAACCCTAGGGCTCGTGAAAAGAAGCAGTTAAGGTGTTGCGAAGAGTTATTTGCTTCTTCTATAGGCAGCGCATTTTGGAAAAGCAATACACACATCTATTTTGGACCATACACCTTTAACATATTGAGTCAGCTGGAGATTTCTGAATGACATGCTTCTTCTTGTGAAGTATGGTGATAGAACTGGACTTGATTATCTCACCCTTTTGGAGTTTGTAAGAAATAAGGCCATCTGGGATGTTTTCACACTAAGGCCTCCTCCAGATTACCTGTTTATTGAGCATTCATCCTTGCACAAAGATTACGCAGAGGTTAGACTATGTCTGGTCTTCACTGTGCATGAGTTTTGCTTTGTCTGTAGGGGGGTTATGTGACAATCAGTATTCATCCTGACTTGCTTGTGCAGTGCTGCATACTGTCCTATTAAACATCCACCCATCCCATACTTTGAGCATTTCCCCATCACTTTCCTAACTGCTAAAAGGTCTGTTTCTTTTAATAGTTTATTGATTCTGCCAAGGCACCAGAATGCTTTTATCCACAGCACAAACCTAAATTTCCAGTATATGCATCGAGTGAAGAAAGGACTTACATCTTTCCTCTGGAATAGCCATGATTTTTCTGCTCACTTTTTTTACAGGGCACCTGCATGATGTCATTGGCAAACCATTGTTCTCCCTCTGGTTCTTCTTACAGATTACAAAATAAAATAAAATAAAATCTCAGAAAGGGTGGAACAGGAGTGAAATCTCCCCAAATGTAAATCACCTTAGTGCTACTTTTCCATCTTTATAAAGAGGTGCAGTTTTGATGTCTTCAGCAATATATTGACTGGGCAGGTGAGCCTAACACCTGTATCTGTACCTCACCACACCTGCACCATAACTTTTTCCCATTAACTCCATTTGACCAGGGTGTTAATTGCTTTAAAAAAAAAAACAAAAACAAACCCTTCTCACCTACTTTAAAAAATGAATATTTACACAATATTGCTTAAATGAAAAAGCAATTTTGCACAATTTTTCAAAATGATTTTAAGTATGCAATGTTTTTAGCTGCTTGCATTTTAGAAGAAGGGGTTTCCCCAGATCTTTTAATTTGTGCTGAATACTTCTTTCAAAAAGTTATTTTTATGATGCCAAATATCTTCACTCCAAAGTAAGGACCATTGCTTTCAAGAGGGCTTATTCCCAAATAAACAAGTTTAGGATGTGGTCAGGGGCTGTACTCCCAAGTTCTTCACACTACCATTGCCCCACTTTGAGAACTTAAGTTTTAGGAAAGCAATTCCTGATGTGAGAAACATTTTTGAGAACTCTCAGGAAAATCCTGAGTTGGGCCTGGATTTTCTCAAGAAAGCTTTTTTTGTAGGGTGGGAGAATAATCTAATTATGAGTCACACTGGTGAAGAAGCTCACTCATAACTCGAATTTACCAAGGAGAACGGTGAAGCAAAAGAATGGGCTGTTTGCCATTGTATGAGATGAAAGGATCAGTGGTGGATATTTGCCATGGGAACACTTGACTTTTTAAGCACTTGATCTGATGCCTCTGAACACATGGGAATTGAACTAGGGAACTCAGGAAACCTCCACTAAGTTGTTCCCACTGCACACAAAGGATAATCCAAACCAGAACCGCCTAGTGAACTCGTTCTAATGGAGAGGATGCTAAAAGCAAAGATGTTAAATGATGCATCGCATTCCAGACTCCTCCCCACCACCACCACCAAACAAACACATGCACGCACAACCACCCATTTCTTTTTACCAGGTTTTCCATATTAGCAAAACATTCTCAAGATCTCTGTTGTCCTTGAAAAAGGTTGACACAGCAACCAGAGCAAGCCAGGTTGTCTGTGTTTTGGTCTCTGCTCTTAGGTTTTCAGTAAGCATTTTCCTTTGAAGTGTGTTGTGTTAACTTGTGAGTAATCCACAGCCTCCATGGTAGGGCAATGCAAAGGAGGAAGCAAGCTTTTACGTGTAATTTGTTATATATATATATATATATATATTTATATGATATTTATTCCAAATTTCGAATTACAAAAAAAAAGAAAACCATACACAATAGAATAAACATACAACAAAAAAACAGACAATAAGAAAAACACAACAAAAAATATAAAAATACATTACAATAAAATGAAACAAAAATCAAGTTAAACCTTTACAGCCTTTTTTCCTTTTACTTATTTCCGTGACCTCCTCTCACCTCCCTGCTTTGTATTCTAGTTTAAATCATATTTCCAGCAAATCCTTCTAACCTTCTTTTCATTACTTATTTTAACATTCAATAGCATAATTAGTACTCCTCTATCCCATCAATTTCTACACTTCATTTTTACTTAGTCCATAATATCATCTCAGCCTAAACGACCTAATGATCTTTTTCCAACCTCTTTCTAACATTCTTTTATATTACAATATTTTTGAAGATATAATTTAATTTTTTTCCAGTCTTCTTCCATCGACCCTTCTCCCTGGTCTCGAATTCTGCTGGTCATCTCAGCCAGTTCCATATAGTCCATCACTTTCATCTGCCATTCTTCTCGGGTAGGCAATTCTTGTGTCTTCCAGTATTTCCCAATAAGTATTCTCGCTGCTGCTGTCGCATACATAAAAAAAGTTCTATCTTCCCTTCGCACCAATTGTCCGACCATACCCAAGAGGAAGGCCTCTGGTTTCTTTAGAAAAGTATATTTCAATACCTTTTTTTAATTCATTGTATATCATTTCCCAGAAGGCCTTGATCTTTGGGCACGTCCACCAAAGGTGGAAGAAAGTACTTTCATTTTCTTTACATTTCCAACATTTATTGTCGAGCGTATGATAAATTTTGGCTAGCTTGACTGGGGTTAAGTACCACCTATAAATCATTTTCATTATGTTTTCTCTTAAAGCATTACAAGCCGTAAATTTCATTCCTGTGGTCCATAACCGTTCCCAGTCAGCAAACATAATATTATGTCCAAAATCTTGTGCCCATTTAATCATAGCAGATTTAACCATTTCATCCTGTGTATTCCATTTCAGCAACAAGTTATACATTCTTGACAAGTTCTTAATTTTGGGCTCTAACAATTCAGTTTCCAGTTTGGATTTTTCCTCCTGGAAACCAATCTTTTTATCTAGGTTAAAAGCCTCCCTTATTTGATAATAATGAAGCCAATCTCGAACTTTAGTTTTTAGTTTATCAAAGCTCTGCAGCTTTAATTTATCTCCAACTTGTTCTAGAATTTCACAATATTTTGGCCAGTTTGTCTCCATATTAGTTTTTTTCAAAGCCTTAGCCTCCATTGGTGACAGCCACCTTGGTGTTTTACTTTCCAACAAATCCTTATATTTCACCCAAACATTAAACAATGCTTTCCTGACAATGTGATTCTTAAAGGCCTTGTGCGCTTTAACCTTGTCATACCATAAATATGCATGCCATCCAAACACATTATCAAAACCTTCTAAGTCCAAAATGTCCGTATTTTCAAGAAGTAGCCAATCTTTCAGCCAGCAAAATGCGGCTGATTCATAATAAAGTTTAAGATCTGGCAGGGCAAATCCACCTCTTTCCTTTGCATCTGTTAATATTTTAAATTTTATTCTAGGCTTTTTGCCCTGCCAGATAAATTTAGAAATATCTCTTTGCCACCTCTTGAAGCAGTCCATTTTGTCCACAATTTGCAATGCTTGGAACAAAAACAACATTCTAGGCAATACATTCATCTTTATCGCAGCAATTCGGCCCAACAATGATAACTTCAATTTTGACCATATTTCCAAATCCTTCTTTACTTCTACCCAACATTTTTCATAGTTATCTTTAAACAAATTCACATTTTTAGCAGTCATATGCACCCCTAAATATTTCACTTTATTAACTAATGTTAATCCTGTCTCCTTCTGAAACCTCTCTTTCTCAATCTCTGTAAGATTTTCTCTAATACCTTAGTTTTCATCTTGTTCAATTTAAAACCTGCTACTTGACCAAATTCTTGAATTAATTGCAATACTCTTTTTGTACTGGATTCTGGCTCCTGTAGTGTCAAAACTAAGTCATCAGCAAAAGCTTTCAGTTTGTACTGTTTAGTTCCGAGTTGTATACCTTTAACCAATTGGTCTTTCCTAATCATATTGAGCAAAACCTCCAGGACCGATATAAAAAGCAATGGGGAGATTGGGCAACCCTGTCTTGTTCCTTTCTCTATCTTAAATTCTTCTGTAATTACATTATTTACAATCAGCTTAGCTTTTTGTTCTGAATAAATTGCACCTATACCGTTTTCAAAACTTTGGCCTACCCCCATCCCCTGCAGATTTTTCTTCATGAAATTCCAAGAAATATTGTCAAAGGCTTTCTCCGCATCCACAAATATTAGAACAGCTTTAGTATTAATATTAACTTGCAATTTTTCTAGAATATTAATGATATTCCTCGTATTATCTGACAGATGTCTCCCCGGGAGAAAGCCCGCTTGATCTTTATGAATTTCTTTCACCAATACATTTTTTAATCTTTTAGCCATAATTTCCATAAAAATTTTGTAATCCACATTAAGTAGGGATATGGGACGGTAGTTCTTCAACTGTGTCTTTTCCACTTCTGTTTTTGGTATAAGTGTAATGTATGCTTCTTTCCACGACTCGGGTGCTTTTCCTCCCTGTAGTATTTCATTGCAAACTTCTTTCAAAGGTTGCATTAACCATTCTTTCAAAGATTTATAGTACTTTGCAGTTAAACCATCTGGCCCTGGAGATTTGCCCAGTTTCATATTCTGAATGGCTCCTTCCACCTCTTGGTCAGATATTACAGAATTTAATATTAATTTACTCTCTTGGGATACTTTTTGTAATCCATTAATTTTCAAAAACTGATCAATGTCTAATTCTTTCTGAGTCTCCTGCGTATATAGCTGTTTAAAATAATTCTGAAAGCACTTTCGGATCTCTCCAGGATTCTGTATATTCTTCCCTTCTACTACCAAATCCGTAATCGTATTCAGCTTTTGTCTTTTTTTCATTTGCCAAGCCAATAATTTCCCACACTTATTTGCCAATTCAAATGTCTTTTGTTTCATCTGTTTGATCTTCCATTCTATTTCCTGATTCATCAGTTTCATATATTGTACTTGGTATAACTTTATCTCTTTTAGGATCTCCTGTGAGTTCGGTTTCGCCCTCAGTTTTTTTTCTCCCTCCTTAATTTTCTCTAAAAAAATTTCTCTCTTCTCATTTTGGTGTCTTTTCCTAATTGCATTTTGTTGTATCAAAAATCCTCTCATCACCGCTTTACTAGCATCCCAAATCACTCTTTTCTCGGTCATAGTGTTCATATTTATCTCAAAGTAATCTCTCAAGTTTTTCTGGGCCTTCTTGACAATTTCCTCATTCCTAAACAAGGAGTCATTCATCCTCCATCTGAAAGCTCCAATTGGCGTTAGTATCATTTCAATCTTTACTGGATTATGATCAGAGCAAATTTTCGGGCAAATCACCGCTTTTTTTATCTTAGGGGCCAGTCCCCTGGTTACCCAGATTTGGTCTATTCTTGTCCATGTCATTTTTGCTTCAGAGAAGAAGGTTCCTTCTCTTTCCAAGGGGTTCTTTATTCTCCAAATGTCCACAAGATCCATATTGTCAGTCATTTCAAAAAATGTCTTTGGTAATCTTCCATCTTTCGTCACCGTTTGTCTTTGGGCTTTATCCATGTTTGTAGACACTACTCCATTCATATCTCCCATCAAAATAATGTTGTAATCCAAATACTCCAATAGGGTTTCATGCAGTTTTTTAAAGAATTCTGATTTTCCCTCATTTGGTGCGTAGACACCTAATATTAAAAACTTTTGGCCGTGAAACTGAATTTCAATTGCTATATATCTTCCTTGATCATCTTTAAATATAAATTTTGGTGACAGGCTTTCCTTTGCGTAGAGTACTCCTCCTCTTTTTTTCACATTGTCCGATGAAATAAATTCTTCTCCCAATCTTTTATTTATCAAAATTTTCCGATGTAGCCTTGTCACATGTGTTTCTTGTAGACAAATCAAGTCCAAATGTTCTTTTTTTAATGTATGGAATACTCTCCCCCTTTTTGCCGACGAATTTAAGCCATTAATATTCCAACTTAATACTTGCAGTGTCATTTTGTACTTACTCTCCTTCTCCTCCTACAGCCCCAAGAAGTTTGTCTATGTCTGTCGGTGGCGTTGGTTTCGCTTTTTTTTGCAGGCTCTTATCCGGTACAGCAGGGTCTTTTCCCAGTCCTTTCTTTAGATCTTCTTCGTATGCGCTCAAAAACTTGTTCTTTTCCTCCACTGATCTTATCTTAGTCTTTCTTCCTTTAAAACTAAAGGATAGACCTTGAGGGAATTCCCACCTGAAAAGGATCTTGTTTTTTCTCAGCAAGGCCACCAAGTCTCCGAAGTCTTGTCTTAAATCCAAAAGATGTTTCGGTATGTCTTTAAAAATTTCCACTTTTGATTGCAAAATTGTCAAGGGTTTCTCGTAGTGCAGGCCCAAAATGTTGTCCCTCTCTTCTTTGGATCGGAGGGTAATCAAACAGTCCCTTATTTTAATCTTTCTTCCTCCTTTCCCCAATCTGAAGGCCCTCACAATCTTAAAATCCTCTTGTTTCAAATCCAATTTCCAAAATTCCGCAAATTCTTGTGTCAGAAAATCTAACAAGGTGCCTTTCTCCAACTCAGGAACAGCTCTGATTCTTAGATTAGCTTGTTTGTCTCTAAGGTCAATCATAGACAGCGTCAGCTTATGTTCTGCAATCTCTTTCTGTAGGTCTGGTACCTTCTCAGTTTCCAGTTGCCCCAATTTAAATTCCACAGCAGCAGTTTTTTCCTGTATAGACTTTGAGTCCTGCAATAGTCTCTGAATAGATTCCGTGTTGCTGTTTACCTTTTTCCCCAAATTATCTAATGTTTCTGTATTTAAGTCAATTTTTTTATTTGCAATGTCCACTTTCTGGTTCGTCTCCTCAACCTTTTTATTGGTCTCCTCAACCTTTGTACTAAGTTGTTGTAAAGTTTCATTGATCTTGGCCAGGGCATTGGCTAGAATTTCCTCAGACATTCCACTAGGCTTAGGCAAGCCAGCAGATGATTGCCTTCGATGCCCCCAAGGTTTTCCAGATCTCAAGACTGACGGGTCTAATTTCTCACGGCCATCTGCCATAACAATGTGAAGGTCAAATTCTTTTCCAAATGTGCTGTTCCTGTTTACAAGTGGAAAATTCCTTTACTGTAATTTCAGGGAGTCCCACTAGGTGGACACTATTGCCACCATCCAGACTAGTTACTTTCCTTCTTAAGTAACAGGAAAGGAAGGGAAAGAGAAACTAAGTATAAACAAAGAAGAAAAATCCAAAATGTATCTTTCCAATTTTCCCCAGCGAAATTGGCCACAGTATATCCACCTTACAGTCAGCAGTTAACACTGACAGATTTTGACAGCTGAGACGTCTCACTGACGAATCGCTCTTTAAATCTTTCTACAGTCCGGA